AGCAAAAGTGTAAGCTACATTAACGAGTAAAGGATTTCTTCATTACATATGTATACAGAATAAATATTGAGATGAGATTATGCTACAGTCCTGTTTTTTTTTCTTGAATACATCTATATCTATATATATAGGAGCTAGTTCAAATAAAAATTTGTCTTGGTGTGAGAACCGTGACAACCATATTTGATTTCATTTTTTAATTGTGTATGATGCTATTTTTAGTATGATAAATGCTAATGTAAATTGTGTTATTGTTTTTAATAAAACGCATTCATGTCAAAAATAGCACTAAAACACAATCAATCATAGCAGTTCTCACGGTAAGAATCGGTTCTCATTTGAACCACATCTTATATATAATGTTAATATGAGTTTTGTGATATCAGGTAGAGAAAGCGATTGAAGTGTACCACGACGAAGAGTACAAGTCCTACAGATGGGTCTTCCCTTCCCACAACCTCACGGTGTGGAACTTGTGGTCCCCACTCCTCGCAAAGGCCGCCATTTTCGAGGACATTAACGGAGTCTCCACATCGGAAATCGAGCTGCACCTTGACATCCTTGACGACAGCTGGACCCAATATTACTCCACGTTCGACTACATGATATTCTCGGTCGGGAGTTGGTTCCCAAAGAGCACGATTTATTACGAGAACAGCCTCGCCATCGGCTGCAACAACAACTGCCCTAAACGGAACCTCACCGAGCTCGGCTTCAAATTCGCCTACCAAAAGGTTCTTCACAACGTGTTTGACTTTATCGTCCAGTCAAACCATAAGGAAGGTGTGGTGTTGTACAGGACCACGACTCCCGATCATTATGAAGGCGGGGAGTGGTATAATGGGGGGACTTGCAACAGGAGTTTGCCTGTGAAGGAGGGTGTGTTTGAGGTGAATGGGGTGTATAGGATTTTACGTGACGTGGAGATGGAGGAATTTGGGGAAGCGCGTGTTAGGGCGAAGGAGAGTGGGGTGAATTTTGGGCTGATGGATGTGGGCCCGCTGGCGTTGATGAGGCCCGATGGGCATCCGGGCCCGTATAGATTTTTCCAGCCGTTTGCTGGGAGTGGGGGGGAGAAGAAGGTGATTAGCGACTGTTTGCATTGGTGTATGCCGGGCCCAATAGATGCGTGGAATGATGTGTTGATGGAAATGGTTGTCAGAGGTTGAGAAAATGGGCGAGTCAGAGTACGAGCCTGTCAGTTTTTTTGTTTAGATTGACAGTCGGCATATGTTAGATATGGGTTTCTTTTTTTTTTTTTTTTTCATTGAGTATTTGATGGAATTACTTCAGATCAACTGTTGCTATAAGCTAACATTTTTTTGTCTTTACAAACTGATGACCATATAACTGGTGAGGAGTGGAAGAACATTACCGAGAAAGAAAGAGCACCTTATGAGAAGGACAATTTATTCGCAACCTATATTCCGCGGAAACAAAATCCCAAGATTCATATTGATTCTTAAAATATGTCGACATTAACAAATTATTTTCGATATACCTCCAAGATGTTCTTGTTCTCTGCAAGCAGAGCAGCTCCACGCTCTTTCGAGAATATGAAATAAGCCGACATTGGTTGCTTTGAAAAACAAAGAGCAGTATATGCAAGAGTTGGAGCTGTACAAGCAGAAGAAAGAAGAAGAAACTGCTCACCTCAAGAAGGAAGAGGAAGAACATATGAAACTTCATAAGCAAGAAGCCGTGCAATTGCTCAAGAAGAAAGAGAAAACTGAAACTATGATTAAGGTTGCTTTCTGTGCTTATTTAAGATCTTTTAATTAGCTGATTATTTCATGTAAAACTTCTTGCTTTTAAGCCTCTGCAAACTCTGAAATTATAATCTTAATTTATTCATTGGGTGCAGAGAACCTCCAAAAGCAGAAGATAAGAATGTCGATCCAAACAAACCCAGAAAGCCTGCTTCTTCATACCTTCTTTTCAGGTAAGACGTTTGGTNNTAATTTTGTGATATTGGTGTTAGGACCAACAACTCAAAACCCTGAATCAAGCCCACCATAGAAGCCTAAATGGGGTTTCATTCTAAAACCAATTGGCAATAGAAGGAGTAGCCCACCAAACTTATATATTGGACTTGGAACTTTTAATTTCCGGGCAATTTACATATATACTTAATTGATTGTTAAATAATTGTAAAAATACTAAATGAAAAACGTATTTGCACATTTACCTAACCTAGCATAAATATTTAGATAAATACTACATATTAAAAGTATTCTCTCTCTTCTTTCATACATATTAAAAGCATTCTCTCTCCTCTCTCCTCCTAACAATTCTCATTTATTACTCTCTTTCTTATTCCACATACTATTCATCCGTTTTTTTTCCTTATCTTCTCCATAATATTCTCCTTCTCTCCTCTCTCTTCTCTTTATTCCATTGAATTTAAATTTAATTATCTTTTCATGTAAATTCTATAACAAATTTTTTAGTATATATTTAGTATATGTTACAACGAAGTATATGTTGAGTATAGAAGTCAGTATAAATTCTCATGTCCTGAATGAGCAGTATATAATGAGTTTATATTTAGTATATGTTACAATATTCTCTTAATATTTAGTACATATTTTGTATATGTTGTTGTCCCTACGTATATGTTACAATATTCTCTTAATATTTAGTATATATTTAGTACATATTTAGTATATGTTGTTGTCCCAAAGCGTAGGGGAGCGAGATAGCAGCATCCACGAAACAACCAAAGCATGGACAAATTGTGCTAGAATTGTCCACGGTACTGGTTGTAGTTCTGAATCGTTTTTGTCCAGCAATATCCCACTGTAAGGTAAAATTTTTTAAAAAAATAATAATAAAAATAAAAATAAAAAATAGAAAAAAAAAAGAAAAAGAAAAATTGAATAAACCTTATTCCTTTAGCTTCGGAAACCAAAGCATGGACAAATTGTGCTAGAGTTAAATTGCACCCAATTGAACAAGGAAAAAACCAACCTGGATCCATAGCTAGTTTAATGGCAAAACACATTAAATGGTGAAGCTCGCAGAAAAAGATTGAAGTCCTCAAACATATTGTTGTCAACATTCCCAAGAATAAAATTGCAAATAGAATAACAAGAAAGTGGCACCAAAATCTATAGCTTTATTTGTTCCACATCACACCCGTACATATGATTTCAAATGAGTAAAAGACTAGTGTAGAAAAATAAATTGGGATAAGGGAGAAGAATTGGATTTTTTTGTGTCTGTGAATGCTGAAGAAAAAAATGGAGAAGGGAAGAAGAAGATAAGGAGAGGAGAGTGGAGGTGATAAGAGAAGTTACCGAAAATAAGAAAAGGGGAAAAAAGAGAAAAGAAAACGAAAAATGTTCTTTTACAGTTATATGTTTATAATTATGTTAGGTAGTTTATGTCCTTTTGCAATTAAAATATTATAGGTCGTAGATCTGCAATATTTTATGATGGACTTCGTTTATAGAGTAATTATCTCTTAATTTAATTTCCGATGTGAGATTGGATTTGCACACCCTACAATTGGATGAAAAATGAATGCTGATGTTGGAATAAATTTTCTTTCTGTATTTGTTTTAATGCAGCGATGAGGCTAGGAAGAATTTAGCTGAAGAGCGTCCTGGAACTAACAATTGTACTATCAATGCTCTCAAGTGGGAGGCATAATTAAGGAACCGAACATTTTTTTTGAATTAGATGGAGACAAAATTTGGTTCGGTATATTATTGTGTAGGATAATACTCATGTTGGTGGCTATTTATGTAGGAACTGAGTGAAGAAGAGAGGCAAATGGAACTGAGTGAAGAAGAGAGGCAAATTTGGAATGGTAAAGCTGCAGAGGTAATGGAACTCGAAGCTTATAACAAGAAATTGGAAGCCGAAAACAAGGAGAATTAGAAATAGAACGGGGCAACAGAGTTGAACATTTTTATATTACTTGTCTAATCTTAGTTATGGTTTTAGTTGATGCTAACCGACTGTAGTCCGACTTTCTGGAATTCTGTTACATCTTAGAGACGCGAAATCAGAGTTTGTGTGACAATGTGACATTCCTTTTCAGTTTTTCTTCTTCTCGTTATTTCTGTTTTTGTTGTTTTTTTGGTTCGTGATGGTACCTGATGCAATCTACCTAAAATAAAACTCTTCTTGTTATTTTTTCATACTACGCTAGTATGCTCCAAAGGTCAGTAATGATGTACATTTTTATCATGACTTGATGAGCCCACACACGTTTGTACTCAAGTTGAAGAATGGTGTTTCTTTTTAATGTGATCTGAGTTTTTTCTTTATGTATCTTTTTCTTTTTGAGAGAATATAAATTGTTAAATTGATAAGATTCCGCATCAACATCGACTGTAAGAATGAGGAAGATTATGATGGTGTAGAATATGAAGGGGAATTATATCATCAACTTTTTCGGTCCTTGTGGCCTGCAACTTTCTGTGAAATCAAGCAAGAAAAACTGTTACATGTGCCTGTGATAATGTCCTTGTTTGTTAAACCTCAATGGTACTTTAGAAGTTTATTCCAACTTTTTCTTCAACTTAATTACCTCTTCTTGGATGCTTCTTCATGATCTCGACTAACGGTGGAAATTATATTCCCGTCCTCATTTTTGGCACTCGTGCCAGCGGATAAGGAAGACTCGGGTGCGGCTGGCGTTGGTGGACCATTTTGGGCTTGTGCGGTGGGCCCACTCCACTTGAGAATCAACAGTGCATTCTCGAAAGTGGATATTATCCCTTGGAGGAGCAAGTCCTGAGCTTTTGAAGGAGAAGTCGAGCATATATGAACGCGTAGTTGCATAGCATTTTCCATGCCTTGACTGAGTTCATCAATCAAATTCTTGTATTCCAAATTTAAAGCCCTCTCCATTTCTTCTTTATTTTATTTCCTCAAAACAAATTTTTACATGAATGAGGTAATTAATGTGTTTGAAGTGATGTGTGCTATATATAGGAGAAGGGAATGGTGAAGTACAAATTGGAACATTTGGATGCAAACAAATGTGTTGGTTCAACATTGATAGAAAATGAAAGGCATGTGGAAAATAAGCAGGAAGTGTGACTGTTGGAAAATTGACTGAGAAAACGAGTTTTCTTGCAGAGAATGTATAGTGAGGGGGTTCAAGTGCTGACCTGGTCAAGACCTTTAAAAACAAACACTTATCTAAGTGGGTTTTTTTTTATAGTACTTAATTTTTGGTGCTAAGTTCACCAAAATCTTGCCATATATGTGATTTTTGGCCGATTTTTTATTTATTTATTTATTTATATATATTTTTTTTGTTGTAGTTTTTACCAATTTAATGATATCAGTGCATACTGTTTGTAGATGATTATGATGATGTTATGTCTAGAACAACAGTATTCACAGTTCATAAATCTTGATACAATCAAGAAAAAGAGGTGTTGGGAATTTTTTCACAAATACTTGGTTGTGCGATGCACAACCGGCTCATAATACCAAAGTGTTTATGTTTGAAGTTGCTACTCCCAAACTTTAAACAAATTGATCATAAATTGAATAAAAAGACTGAAAAGAACTTATGCTTACAAACGCACCTAAAAATATTGATAAATTAAATAAATTATACGATAAAAAATTGAACCCACGCACAACTGTTAAAATATTGAGTTTTAGTTTTCAAAATCAAAGATAATTAATCAAATATTATTTTTGTAATATCCAATTTGTTGTAAACTCGTCACGCTTATTAGTTTGAAAACTATTTGTTTTGCTTGTGTAATTTGTTTGACCACAAAGGCCCCGTCAATTATTTTAATTTTGATTATGTATGAGCTCCCGACCTATTTTGTAATGGATAATTTTTTTATGAGATATCTGTCCAATGGTGTTAATTTTATAATAACATCTTATCATGGAGAAACAACGATTTACAACAATTTCCCTCCTACAGTCGATACGTTAAGATGTGATTTCAACTTTTTTTTAGTGGTGTATCCCACGCCTGCATAAATGGTCTAAAAAACTTTTGCCCTAGACAGATCAATTTTTTTCAATTCAAACGAGTATGCTCATTTTTGGTGAAAAAATTTGTATTCAGTCACCCTAAAATTCGCATAACCATCAAGCAAACATCTATACTATTATAAAAGTACCAATGAATCTGTAAAAATATGTTTTTCCTAAAATAACCTTATTTTATAATTTTTATAATGGTAACTTTGTAATTTAATACCCACCATTCCTATACCCATCGGATAAAACCATAGAAAACATAAAAATTTGTCTATTTCGTATCCCCATCGGATAAGACCATAGAAAATTAAGCTCAAAACATTATTTATATATGAATGAAGAAGGAAAAATGATAAAGTGAAAATATCATAATTAATATCAAATAAATAGAAAATCTAAAAAATAAATTTTTACTACAATGAGATTTCCGTAAATATTCAAGAACAATAAAAAGACATTTTTATAAAACATACTATAAAATATATGACTTAGTTATACAAAACAATAAAAATTATACTAAATCAAACAAATAAAAAGACATTTTTATAAAACATACTATAAAATATATGACTTAGTTATACAAAACAATAAAAATTATACTAAATCAAACAAATATTTAGACATCTATAATTCAGGATCAATCTAAAACATTGAAAATATTAGTTTACAACTGAGAATCTAAGTTATGGTGATATATTATTTCTAATGGTAAAATTGTAGTCATAAAACTCTAATTATTTCTTTATTTTCCTATTATGCATTATATATAATTGTTAATTTAAGTATATTTTAAATAACAAAACTTCAACCATTTTTAGTATTATATTTATATGTGAAAAATAATTATTATAAAAAAAATTATCTTAATAATAATATAATGTAAAAAAAAAAACTCTAATAATATTATAATTATTCTTGTCCTCATAATGACCACAAAGTATAGAAATATTTTTTTTTCAAAATAACTTATAAAAAAAAAAAGTAAATTGTATAATAGTAAGAGAGATAAATTGTTGAATAATTTTTTTGCAACATGATTTAAAATTGACAAAAATAAGTTGTGTAATAGTAAGAGACATAAATTGTTGAATAATTTTTTTGCAACATGATTTAAAATTGATCATATGATTATCTAAAAAATTTAATTTAGACGTCTAGAGAATCATGATATGCCTATATACGTTGAAAATTAATTAAATTTTACCAGTAACTTATATCATATATCACCATTACTCACTATAAGTAAAAAATTTGAAATAGATAATGTTTGTCACAACGGTCACAAAGTATAGAAACATTTTTTTTTCCAAAATAACCTATAAAAAATAATAAATTGTGTAATAGTATGAGAAATTAATTGTTGAATGATTGTTTTGCAACATAAGCTTCTAATCTACTCAATTACATCGCTTAAAATAAAATTAAACCAATTTTATGAAATTGTATAAGACTAAAACCCACACTATTTATTTTCATGTCGAAGGGATGCCGGTTGAGCAACATTATATAATTTAGGTCATTTTATTATCTATAAATTAATTGAAATATCTAGAGAATCATGATATGCCTATATACGTTGAAAATTAGTTAATTTTTATCAATAAATTATATCGATACGTAAACAAATATTTAGACATCTATAATTAAGGATCAATCTAGAACATTTAAAATATTAGTTTACAACTGAGAATCTAAGTTATGGTGATTTATAATTTCTAATGGTAAAATTGTAGTCATAAGACTCTAATTATTTCTTTATTTTCCTATTATGCATTATATATAATTGTTAATTTAAGTATCTTTTAAATAACAAAACTTCAACCATTTTAGTATTATATTTATATGTGAAATATAATTATTACAAAAAACAATTATCTTAATAATAATATAATGTATATAAAAAAAAAAAAACTCCAATAGTATTATAATTATTCTTGTCCTCATAATGACCACATAGTACAGAAATATTTTTTTTACTCAAAATAACTTATAAAAAAAATAAGTTGTGTAACAGTAAGAGAGATAAACTGTTGAATAATTTTTTGCAACATGATTTAAAATTGATCATATGATTATCTAAAATATTTAATTTAGATATCTAGAGAATCATGATATGCCTATATACGTTGAAAATTAATTAAATTTTACCAATAAGTTATATCATATATCACCATTACTCGCTATAAGTAAAAAATTTGAAATAGATAATGTTTGTCACAACGGCCACAAAGTATAGGAACATATTTTTTCCAAAATAACCTATGAAAAAATAATAAATTGTGTAATAGTATGAGAAATTAACTGTTGAATGATTGTTTTGCAACATAAACTTCTAATCTACTCAATTACTTTGCTTAAAATAAAATTAAACCAATTTTATGAAATTGCATAAGACTAAAACCCACATTGTTTATTTTCATGTCGAAGGGATGCCGGTTGAACAGCATGATATAATTTAGGTCATATTATTATCTATAAATTAGTTAAAATATCTAGAGAATCATGGTATGCCTATATACGTTGAAAATTAATTAATTTTTACGAATAAATTATATCGATATATTACCACTACTCATCCATCTATTAATATGTATTATTCTAATAAAGCAATGTTTATCAAAAAAATGTACAAAATAAGAGCATTTTACATTTGAGTATAATATTAATAAAAAGATTGTACTTATATTTAATATAATATAAAGATGTACAATTAATTGATATATAATAGGACATATGACCCCAATCTTTCTATACTTAATTTTATGCATTTTTTAACAAATATAAAAGTTATATATATATATATACACACACACACACACAAGAACAATATAAAGAAAAAATATTAAAATTTGATGAATAATACTAAAAATATAATTAAGTTCCAACGCTTACTAATAAATATGAAAAAAGTAATAACAAAATGTTATAGTTAATAAAAATAAAGATAAAACTTTTAAAACTTGTACTTATCAATGTAAACAAGGCGAGTTGTTAAACGTTTATTAATTTTTTATGCTTATTAATTATAGGTTTAAGTTTTAGGTGATAGGCGATAGTTATTTGTACTTTTATCCATCATTATCTTCAAATTAATTTTTATTAAGAAATTATATCGATGTATTACCATTACTCATCTATCTATTAGTTTGTATTATTATAATAAAGCAATTTTTTATAAAAAAATGTACATAATAATTTTTTCTAATATTTGAGTATACTATTAATGAGAAAATTATAATTATATATAACAGATGAAAGAACAATATAAATTAAAAAAATAGTAAATCCAATAAATAATATTAGAAATATAATTAAATTGTAACACTTACTAATTTGATATATATATATATATATATGAATGTATAAATTATGAATATATAACTAGAATTCTACATATAGTTAAAAAAGACATAAAAAATATATTATAAAGTTAGATAAAAATTATGTCGCGAATGAGAGAATATAAGTTATCATCAAGACTAAAAAGAAAAGAGTGAATTAGAACGTAAAATTATAAATTTTATAACTATCGTATTTTATTTAATTGTGATACCGCGTTTTATGTTATAACTTTAAATCTATGAGCTGAATTAAATTCTAATTAGTTGAGTTGTGAATTAATTCATTAAGTATCTTTCTTTCTTTTAATTTTAGTTTCTAAATAAGGGCATGATTAAGGTTATGAAAAATGTTCCCATAATTTTTGTTAGATAAGCTATGCTATATATTTTGGGATGAGGCCTGTGTTGGGACTATTAGATGGATTTGTCTATGATTCCAAACATATATTTTTGTTTGAATTTTTATAAAAAAATTCAAACGGGAGTAGTAACAAATATTCGTTAGAATTGTCGTTGAAATTCTGCCGTAACATGTTTTCATTTGTATTTTGTCATTTTCTTGTAGTAAAAGTATGACTCTAAATCAAACTAAAAAAAATTGCATTATATATAATATTGTGTGCAGTTACTTATTTTGAAAATTGTGGATAATGATACAAAATATAACACATTCAATGTAATTATCAATTAATTTATGATAATTAGTATTTTTTTAAACAAATAATATAAATCTTGGTTGAAAAAGTCTTAAATATTTTATTAGTATTATAATAATTAAACGAGGGGTAAGAATGATGTTTTACATAATAAAAAAAGACTACACAATGAGAAAACTTATAGCTCGCATTCCATCAACAAGTTAAAAAAATAATAATAATAATAATATTTATTTATATCCTATATCAATTGGAGTTGACGAATGATATATGTAAAACATACTTAAGATGCACATTTATAAAATATATTCGTTGTGAATTTGAAAATAAGTTAGTTACTTGATATTTTATCGAACAATAGAAAAAAATCCAAAACTTTTTAATCTTATAAACAATATAAAAGTACATTTTTATCAAATATATTACTATAAAACACGTAAAAACAACGCAATGCACATAAACGTGCTCTAATTCTTTCAACAAATAAAATATTATATATGAATAAAATAAGAAAAAACAAATATAAAAGTACATTTTTATCAAATATATTACTATAAAACACGTAAAAACAAAGCAATGCACATAAATGTGCTCTAATTCTTCAACAAATAAAATATTATATATGAATAAAATAAGAAAAAACAAATAAAGAAATGTTTGAATTTTCTTATAGAAGTATGAATACCAATATCAAGAAACAAAAATCTTTTAAAATTACTAATTTTTTTTTTTGTTGCTAGAACTTAAATATATCTTCACTGTAAGAAATTGGTTCTCATAAATAATGATTCTATATGATCATAATATAAACCATAAATCTTAATAGTGACTTCATAATAATAAAGTTCACGGATGACAAAGAGTATCATAATATAATAGAATTCAAATTCTTCTCATCAGAAATATTTTGACAAATGATATGCTTCTCAATATTATCTTATTGTTTTGTTTTGTTATTGTTGAAGACTCAAGAAAGGATCTTTATCTTGAATTATTGAAGCATTATTGTAAAAAAGTTGGACAATAAATGCATTAAATATGTTATTAGCAGACACATAGACATAGGCTACATAGCAACTCCGAACAAATGTAAAAGGTATTATGATACACAACTATAAAATCATTACAACAACTAAAATGCTTAATGATTTGCAAAAAATAAATTATGCAGTTCGTCTATCTTCCAACTAAATAACATCGAAGAGGAAATGTTCAATTCTGATCAAAACATTTTTTTGAATGGTTGAATAAGTTGTCACATTTTTATAGGAATATTTACAATCTCAATTGTGTACTGTGTGATGATTTCAAAAAATAATTTAGCGTCTCAAGAGAAGTACATGATTTTGGAAAGTAAACTTCCATGGGGTAGGTACCAAATTGTTTATACGGAGAGGGAGCGTAGCGTAGTAGTTTATACAATAATTAAAACAAATATAAAGAGTTTTAATAACACTTATTTCGCAGATATATTTATGAACTGTTAATAGAAATACCTTATAATGGTCATATAATCATGAAATTTGACTATATTTAAAGCAGACATTTTTCCAAATTAATTAAGAACAATTTTGCAATACTATTGATGTATTGGACAACGAGTATAGACATTTATTATGAGAACGTTCCTGCAATCATATGTTTTAATAAATTAATTTATCTTACTAAACTTAATAGGTCAAAAACTTTCGACACCACGTGCATCGCACGTACACTTTACTAGTAAAAATAAAAAGTCTAATAGTAACTCTACTCTACGATGCAACACATTTCGAAGTTGTGCGAAAAAATATGCTCTACTTTACTTTACATATTACCAGTCATCTATCTATTAATCTGTACTATTCTAATAAGACGTATTACCCAAAAAGTTATATACTTAATTTTATTCATTTTTGTAACAAT